GACTTTGACACTCACTATGGGTCAATAATAATAATTGAAATACAACTAGGATATTTAAATCAGCATGATTTACATAATTTAAAATAATTTATTTAATCAACGGAAATAATCAAATTCCTTCAAATGCAATAATTCTCAATATATTAATTAAATTCCTTCAATTCAAATAATTTTTAATTTATCAATTAGATATTATTTACAGGAATAACAATTAATTCTTTAACAAGTAAGAATAATAATTCATTAAATTCCAAGGATTTTTCAATTTATCAATTAGCTTCGCAAGCTGAAATAAGCTATTAAAGTATCGTATAATAATAATAATAATTATTAAGCACGATTTCTGTCGAGAACGTACGACCCGATCCAGAGCGTCGTGTACACTACCGAGGGACGTGCGGCGCGATCCATAGATGCATCTATCCTGCCGAGGCGTTNATTACCTCGTGCATACGTAGCCCCTGCAATTAGCAACAATTATTTAATTTAATTTCTATGGGGTAATTTTTCCCTAACCAGATTAGACAAGAGACTTACCTCGTCTCAAAGTCCACTTTTCGATTATCGCGTCGCGTAAAATTCTCGATTCAATGCCGAAAAATCCGAAACTATCCAAAAGTTATATAAAATAATTAATATATGTTCAATAATTCGAAATTCATCTATTAAATAAATTACCCTATCTAAAATGGTAAAATTTCTAAAATTTACCCCGGGCCCACATGCCCGGATTCTGGAAATTTTCGGATAGAAATATTACCCATAATCTCAAGAACTCAAATATATAATTTCTACATAATTCCATAACTATTTTCGTAGTTAAAATCTCTTTTTTATAAAAAATTAGTTTTTTCACCTAAACCTTTGATTTCTAATATTTACTAGTTATAATATACTTATAATCTATGTATTTAACTCAAGGGGTGTAGAATTAACTTACCTCCAAGTTGTTAGTTGAAATCACCTCTCAAAAAGCTCCAAAATCGCCCAAGAATGGAAGAAAATGAGCAAAAATGGCGAATTCCCGTTCTTTTAAGGTTTCTGCAAAACAGGTCTTTCGCACCTGCGGAGGTTGGAACGCACTTGCGGCTTTCGCACCTGCGGAAAATCCTCGCAGGTGCGAGTTCCACTTGCTTGGCCAATTCTCGCATTTGCGCACACACCTTCGCACCTGCGCGTTCGCAGGTGTGCGAATTCTCCGCATATGCGGCGATGGCCTCCCCTTCCCTTTTTCGCCTCTGCGAAGAAATCTCGCATATGTGAGTGCCGTGCCTGCGAGCTTCTATCGCATCTGCAAATGTCGCACCTGCGTCTGGCCAAGTGCAGGTGCGATTCTGACAGTAGTTGGGAGCTTCAGTTTTGGCTCCCAACTTCCAACTTGGTCCGAGCCTCGTCCGATTGACACTCGGGGTCCTCGAGACCCCTCCCGAACATACCAACAGGTTTGGAATTGTCAAGACCCAATTTCACCTATAAGTCGTGATGGCGCCCAATACTACAGCTAGGCAAGCCAACCAATAAATTAAGCATACATTGATAAAATTTAAAACTAAGAAAATATAATAAAACCCAAACTCTACCAATGTGTGTGCCAAGACCTGGTGTCACAAGTGTATGAGCATCTAGTAGATTATACAAAACCTCAAATGTTGTCCGAAATAAAAATAGACAGAATTAAATTACAAAGAGAGACACTAATAGCTGCAGAACGAATCAGAGAAACAGCTCACCACTATGTCCCCAGATAATGTGAGTGTAAGACGATAGGTCCCCCACTAGTACTTGCCTCATTTTCTGCACAAAAAGTACAGCAAGTATAGTATGAGTACGTAAATAACGTGTAACCAGTAAGTATCAAGCCTAATCTCGAAGTGGTAGAGACGAGATGGCCGACTTTGATACTCACTATGGGGCAATAATAATTATTAAAATACAACTAGGATATATAAATCAACATGATTTACAGAATTTATAACAATTTATTTAATCAACGGAAATAATCAAAATTCTTCGAATGCAACAATTCTCAATATATTAATTAAATTTCTTAAATTCGAATAATTTCCAATTTATGAATTAAATATCATTTTCAGGAATAGCAATTAACTATTTAACAAGCAAGAATAATAATTCATTAAATTCCAAGGATTTTTCAATTTATCAATTAGCTTCGCAAGCTGAAATAAGCTATTAAAGTATTGTGTAATTATTATTATTATTAAGCACGATTTCTACCGAGGACGTATGGCCCGATCCAGAGTGTCGTGTACACTGCCGAGGGACGTGCGACGCGATCCATAGATGCATCTATCCTGCCGAGGCGTTCGGCCCGCTCCACAAGAAAGGAGGACATTTTCTTATGTACCTCCGGAAGGAGAGTATATTTATTATAAGATAAATTCGGGAGGAAGATTAATTTCTTTTTAATAATTAATTAATTTAAATAGAAAATCAAGCATATGAGATTTCCATCCTTTAATATCTTTATCTAACAATTTACAATATATTCATATATATCAATTAATATTAATTAAATAAAAAAAATAATTTACACAAGTAATTCATGCTTTGAGTCCTAAACTATCCGGACTTTAGCATTAATAGTAGCTACGCACGGACTCTCGTCACCTCAAGTGTACGTAGCCCCCGCAATTAGCAATAATTATTTAATTTAATCCCTATGGGATAATTTCTCCCTCATAAGATTAGACAAGAGACTTACCTTATCTTAAATTCTACTTTCCGATTATCGCGTCGCGTAAAATTCTCGATTCGATGCCGAAAAATTTGAAACTATCCAGAAGTTATATAAAATAATTAATGTATGTTCAATAATTCGAAATTTATCTATTAAATAAATTACCCTATCCAAAATGGTAAAATTCCTAAAATTCACCCTCGGGCCCACGTGCCCGAATTCTAGAAATTTTCGGATGGAAACGTTACCCATAATCTCAAGAACTCAAATATATAATTTCTATCCAATTGCATAACCATTTTCATGGTTAAAATCTCATTTTTATAAAAATCTAGGGTTTTCACCTAAACCCTTGATTTCTAAGATTTACTTGTTATAATCTACCTATAATCTATGTATTTAACTCAAGGAGTGTGGAATTAACTTACCTTTCAATTGCTAGTTGAAACCCCCTTCTCAAAAGCTCTGAAATCGCCCGGAAATGGAGGAAAAATGGGCTCAAAATGTGTGAACCCCGACTTTTTTACCATTCTGCCCAGACAGGTTTTTCGCACCTGCGGCTTTCGCACCTGCGAAAAATCCTCGCAGGTGCGAGATTTTTCCTCTTGGACTGGCTCCGCACCTGCGCCCAAAGGACCGCACCTGCGCGTCCGCTTCTACGCTCAATTCTTCGCATCTGCGATGGCCGTGCAGATCCTCCCCTTCGCACCTGCAGCTGGTGGCTCGCACCTGCGGCTGACCATGCGCATGTGCGATAATACCGGAAGCTATAAGCTTCAGCTCTTCTTCAAAATTCCAAAATTGATC